TTCAGGTTTCTGTAGGAAAATTAACCCAATGTCTGCAAGCTAATTATCACATGTGACTGACTGTTGTGTGTGATAAAAATAAATGAAGAAAATACATGATGTAATCCAAATTCTCATAGCTCATTAACTCACTAACAAATAGAAGTCTGATATGCTATTTGGAGTTTTTATGTAAATTGAATATAAATTGCATGATGTTTGGAAATCTTTGATATTTTGAATAGACACTTTAATGATACATAGACACAGATAGGAGTTATGAATAGACAGCTTGAGGTTTCAGAGTCCCTCTGCACTGTGTTTAGCAGTAGGTACAAGGTAAATATTCAAACCAAATAAGATTAGGACATCAACAGAAGAGACTGTGCAATGAGCTGGTGAGTGGGGTCATTGGGTGGTTTGGAAGGGATTTTTAGGGTTCTCTTCTCATTTTCATACTTTACAAAAGTGCATTTTGGGCAAAAGGAAATGAATAATACTTGCTTTTAGGCTCAGGCAATTTAAACACAGATAAATTCTAAAAACTGTGAAAGGTCATGGTGAAGGTGATTTAGCCTGGATTTTCAGTAGGTGAAAGTATTTACATGGTAGCTCATATTTCAACTGAACAGTAACATTTGGAGTTTTGTATCCTTTACCCTTTTTATGCTAATTAATTTTTCTCCTTAAAACCCATATCGGTGATAGATAAAAAGTGGAGAGAAAAATCATGTTCAAAATCAATGTAATTATACTTTAAGAGGGAACATATGAAACTTGTGTTTTAAAACACAGTCCTTAATTGTTGGATTTTGTCTGGCCAGCCTCTATAAAATTCTGAGGCAGATACTGGGGGAAAAAGGACTGGGAGGAACAAAGGCAGCTTCAAAAGTCCCCTGGGCCTCTGTCTTATCTGAAAAAATTCCTTAAAATGATAAGAAAGAGAGGATTGTACCAGATGTGACTTGGTTATTTAAACTGATATCTTTATCATGTACCATATGCACTTAAGCTCAGAAAGTCTTGTCTCTTTTCTTTTAAATAAAAACCACACAAAAAAGGTATCTATATATCAATTTCTAATACCCAAAGGGAAAGTTTTATAGAATATCACAATAGCAGTAAGCAAGTATGTACGATAGGATTAAGTACTAGCCTTGAAAACAAAACAAGCAATTAAAATTTCCCTTCATTTCCCCCCTCAGATTCAGGACTTTATGATCTTTGTGGGGCGTGGGGACAGAGACTCACACTTCTACTGTATTTTAAGGAAAATAGTTCCTTAATGTTAATCCTCCATCTTTGAAACCATGGGGAACCCATATCCTTTGAGTGGGTTTGGTCATTACTGGGAGAAGAGACAAAAAGGGCCTATTCTAATAAACTAAGACAGTCTTTTATGACTGAAAATAGAAATAGAAATAGAAAATAGAATAAGACACTTAAAATGGTCTGATTCAACAAGTCAAACCATACATTTCTAGCTAGCCTATGAAGTCTATGTGAGTTTATCATCTTTCATTCTACTAGGAAAGAGAAAAAAAAAAAAAACAAGTCAGTTTTGAACATCAAGATTTTCACTCATAAAGACTGCATAAAGCAAGAAAAAAAAACACAAAACAAAATCTTCAAAGGTTGTTAGCCATCCTCTTCAAAAATTTCTCATAAATTCTTCTCTTTCTTTGTCACTAGATAACCCCATCTCACAAGGAAATACTTTCAACCTTTCCCAAAGAGATCCGTGATTGATTGTAGGAGAGTGTCTACTGTTTGAGGTGTCTGCTAGGAGAGCATCTGCTACAAACCAGAAGTCAGTGCATACCCCAGAGGATGTGGCAGAAGCTGTTTCTAGCAATGGTAAGTCTACGTACGTTCTTAGAATCTTTGTTTTTATTCTCTTCACTCTCTAAGTATTTGTTTTAGAGTGGAGAACACACACACACACACACACACACACACACACACACACACACATACACACACACTCCAAACTGAAATAAAAACCAAAAATAAACAAGGGACCCAAATAACTAACAAAAAAAGCAAGAGGGAACTTAATCCTCTTCTGCCATTTGCCTCAAGTTCTTTTTCTCCTCCCATTTTTACTCGAAACAATTGACCAACATTTCAGATTGGGTAAAGTATTGTTAATTTCATTGGATTTGAGAGCCAATGGAACAATGGAGCCTTCTCACTTTAGAACCATGACATCCTCTGTCTCTGAACCCCCAAACTCACTTGGTGAACAATATTTTACTTGTGAGTGATATAAAGTTGAAAGGTGGTGGCTAGATCTAATACTATCTTATTAAGCCATATATCTATAGAATTGTTGTTTTCATACTTTAAAAAAATATGTCTATGCTTTCTTTTTTTTTCTTTTTTCATTTTTTTTTTAGTCAAGTACTTTCTTAAAGAAACAATAGCACCACATTGGCATAGCTGGCCAAACAATAAATGGGAAAGCAAAACATGCTGCATCCTCTCTCCCTCACGCCCTCCCAAGGACACAAACCAACAACAGAAACCCTGGAGCCTCGGGGTATGAGATGGGTTCAGCTACACAGACACTCCACATTTCACTTCGATATTCCAAGAAGGGGAAGGAGTTTCAAGTGGGCAGGGATGCTGGGTTAAAAATAAGAGTTTCAAGGAAATGACTTTTAAAGAAATTATTCCACGTGGAGCCTCTTAGGGTGAGTAGATATGTGTCACATGTTTGTGGTGTGTGTGTGTGTGTGTGCATGTGTGTCCTTATGCATACTCCTATATGTGTAGGGTATATGCATGTAGGGTTGGTATTAAAAAAAGTATTTTTTACCCTAGGAGAGTAGATCATAATGGAGAGATATGTTAGTTTTTTTCAGTAGCACTGACTTATAGCATTCAAACAATTGATATTCTTTGGCGAATAGGACCACGATTTCCCCTAGGTAATGTGTGTTTTTAATTAAAACAGGAATAAGTCTACCGAATGAAAACTCCTTCCCACCTATCTTTATAATTCTTTTGTGAATGTCTTAAAGTAGCCCCATTTCTAGACACCAAACCATGTAACGCTGTAGTGGAACTTACAGGATTTAGAGTTGTAAAATTTGAAGCCTCACTTTCTGATTCATCATAGAGTGACCAGCTGGCTTTCAGAGTTTATGTAGTTTTATCTTACAGTTTTCATTCATTTGAGAGTATAATGATATGTTAGTGTCATTACTTTCACTGGTTGATTTCTGATCCCCTTGGAGAGAATTATGTATTGGATAAAGGATTTCATATTTAACTTTTCCTCATTGAGAGAATTGTTGACTGTGTATAAAATCAAATGAACAAAATATGTGACAGACTCTCAGAATCACCATATCCAACGATGGCAGGAACCTCACAGATCTGTAGAAGACTGCCAATTTTAAAAGCTACACTTGGGAAGCAAGAACTAATGTCAGAAGTGCCACCCTGGGTGTGGGAGGGTCCAGTTTTTTCCTACCACACCTCTGGGAAACAGGCAAGACTGCCTACTATTCCATTTACATCTTCCCATGGTACTTAGGGCATGCTCAGTCTGCCTGCTCATTCTCAGAGCTTTTTACTTAGGGCATGCTCATTCTCAGAGCTTTTTTGAACAGCACATTCGGTATTTATTCAGACTCTTGAGGCAGCCCAGTAGAGGGAAAGGTAAAAATGTATTTTTTTTTTTGTTTTATCTTATATATTTTATAAGAATATTAAGGAAATCTGCAAAAGAGAGCAAAGCTACAGATAATAATATCATCTGAATATTGGGGTTTTTGTTGTTGTTCTAAGGAGGGAGACAATCTTGCTTTCACAAATAGGGAACACATTCTAGACTTTTTTTTGGTTATCAATGTCCAGTTGAATGTATTCAACACATCTGCAGGAAGCTGGATTCTTCCGTCTAAGCAGATGCTAGGGAGAACCTTGGGGTTGCGAAGGAAAATTTTGCATCTCAAGTAGCAATTCTGGCCACACATTTTCACAAAAATAAAATAAGTATGTGTGTACATAAGCAAGGGTATAAGACTATATCCACTAAAGTAACTTATGATTCTTAATAGATATTATTTCAAAACTTAAGAATATTAAGGTCTTCTTTAATATGCTAAAGAGAAGGAAAATGTGTTTTTAAACTTAGTAGATTGCCATTGAGGATGTTAGAGTTATTCCTAAATACTAAGTGCCTGGAAGGGTTAATGAGAGCGGATGAATGGAATGTTCCTTCTCTCCTTTTCTTCTCACTCACCTTTACACTCGCAAGTTCAATGCAGAGACAAAATCAAATCACAAACCCAACGTCTCTTACTTTGTGGTGCGTTGGAGAGAAGGAGTTACTAGCTCTTCGCTGGTCAGTTGAACAGCTCCACCCATTAGAACTTGGATATGGAATTAGCATCTCAGTGATTGACGAGTAATCCTAGGAGCTACATGGCCAATGGGTTATGTACAGGATTCCTTGTATCCCAGTAATCCAAGGGCTCTGATGTTGCACCCACCTGGAAACCCAGAGGAAAAACCTGAGGGCCTATCTGTTTAATATCCATACCACCCCTTTGAGGTAGGTAGATGACATATTGCCCCCATTTTGCAGATGAGGAAACTGAGGCACCGAGAGGTGGAGTGACTTGACCAAGGCCACACAGTGGTGAGTCCGCGTGGCAGAGGTGGCAAATACTTATGTCATTTGGTGATAAAAAAGAAACCAGGACTCCTAAGATCCCTAGCCTCTTGCTTTTCTCACTCCATAGTATCCTCTCTGGACTCACCAAGGAAGTGTGTCTTAGCAGACTTTGTGTCTTAAACTCCTCTTGGAAGGTGTAGCTGGGGAGGCCTCTGATCTCCGAAGAGGATGGATTTTTTTTTTCAGTTTCCTTCCTAATTTTGTCATCTTAGGCTCCAGGCTTTTGTTTTTGCTTTGCTTTCAGCTTTTACCGTTTTGACCAGATTCTTTCATATAACAAACTACAAAATAGCACCATTGTACTGAAAAACAACAACAACAGAGGTTTACATACTGTTTGATATATCCTGTATTATCGATATGCTAAATTTACATAGTGCTCTATATGGAAAAAATAAAAAAGAGAGAAATGGCTGTTTAGGTTACACACTAACTTATCATTTGAAAGAAGCATGGAGAGTCAAAGAGACGTTCTGTGTTTCAAACACACACCTAAAAATGATTGGCCTCAAAGTTGCGGTTATTGTCATTCTATTTTTTTTTCCTGTAACATGATGTGGAAAAATAAAGCTTTATGTCTAAAATAAATGTATCAACTTATATTTGGTACAAATGCCACAGACAGAATCGGGTGGGTAAAAACTTGGTGGGCTAGTTGACTACTTACTTGCTATTGCTTTTGAGGAGGCCAAATTCAACAAATACCCATGGTAGGAAAGGGCAGGGCTAATGGAGATAGACAGGATTATTGAACTCTGTAAAACAAGCAGCTTGAGCTATGTGGGGAAAAGTAAAAGTAAGAGAGTAATTCATAAACCACTTATACGCAGTTGCTGAATGACTGGCTTCAGCAGCCAAAATTCAGAGAGGAATTTAGTGCAAGTGGATCTATACAACACCCATGCATTTTCGGCTCTTGAGAGGCAGGGACTAGGAGATATAATTATATATATACTTTTTCTCTATAGAACGTTATTGATAAAGGATCAAAAGCAATCTACCCACTCCAGAACCACTTTTGCAAGGTGCAAAGTTTTTGTTTTTGTTTTTTTTTTAACAAACACTCCTAAAGACCATGTTGTAATGTTTACTTGTGTATTTCATTGGGGGAAATGCCCATCTTTGAAATGTTATTCATCTTATTGTTAATTTTTTTGATAGGTGTTCCAATGTTTGCAGGTTGTTAATGTAGATCAAAGGGTCATGCAGTGACTCATCGTTTCTGCTTCTTGTAGGCTCTTCCTACATCCTGTAGTTCTTGTTTCCCGCACTTCCTCTACTTGCGTTCTTCAGATGTACTTCCTACAAGCAAGGAAGAAAAGGCCCCATTAAGTTGTGGTTTATGGATCCATTCATGTCTTTAAACAATTCATTCTTCCCTTGTTCTTATTAGTCACTATGTGCCTGAAAAATTATTGGATTCACAGATGCAATGCTCAATGGCCAAAACAGCCTGAGTAGTATTTCAAAGCCTTTAAGGACTCATCATTTCTTTATTTATATAACTGCACACTGTCTTATGCTATAAGAGATTATATCTGATTTTTTTCCTGGGTATTGTGCCCAGCTATTTCCAATATTATATTTCATCCTTTTGTATCTCACATCTTAGCAGTCAAGCTAAAAGAGGGTTTGAGTCTTGGATTCTTTGAGACGCATGCAGATGGACAGGACTTTATTTAATACTTATGTCTATGAGCTTTCATGACATAGGTACCATGGCTTTGTAATCACACAGAGATGCCATTCTCTCCATCTGCCCCTGTCCCAGGTTCAGTCACAGGAAGGAGATCCTGAGAATAGTAGCCTTCTGGCTGCAAGTGCATTTCCCCCAGTGAGTAAAACAAAACAAAGCCAAAAAAAAGTAACAAAACCCCAACACTCATCAGGGTTACCTCTGCTGCCTCATTACCTCTTGTTTTACATTATTGTTTTATTAAAAAAGACGTGTTGCTTTTAGTTTTTGTTAATTTCCCCCATGGGGAGAGGTAGAGTTTTGAAGCAGAAAACAACACCTTTAACTGAGCTCAAATCCTACCCTCTTCCATCTGCCAGTCACGTGAACATGTTCAAATAATAGTTTCTCCATCCATAAAATAGAACAATGATAGTGTCTACAAGATTGAGGAATTAGCATTCATGAAAGCCCTTCTCTTGTCTGGAGGTGTAATAATCAGCATGGTTATTAATATTGTAATACTAACCATAACATGAGTATTATATGTTATTATTGATTCTCTTTAGCATGTGATCTTTGTACTCCTGTATGTAGGTGTGTGTAGTGTATGTGTGTGCGTGAACACACTCGCGTGCAGGCGGATGTGTACGTGGGCACACCTGTAGAGCTACCATCTTATATATATATATATATATATATATATATTTCATGAAACAGAGTTTTTAATTGAGCATGGCTAGAGTACTGAATGGCAAGCTCAAGGGATTTGCCTGTTTCACCCTTCTCCCTCAACATTAGTGCCTGACGGCCCACTCTCTACAGGAGTGCCAAGGGATCTGAGCTCGGATCTTCATATTTTATGGTGGGCTCTTCCCAAACCAAGCCATCTGTCTTCCCACTCTTGTTATGTCACAGTAATTGGAAAACAACAACCCTAAGGCCCGAGTTCTTTGACTTGCTACTGTTATTGCTTCCTCAACAAATAAAAAGGATGAAGGAATGAAGGACTACGAGTTTTGTTTAGAAGGGCAGTTCTAACATAGCAGATTCGAACTCCTCATGATTGTTAAAGCTGGGAGTCTAGCTTTGTGATGTTACAGGTAGTCGGAGGGTGTTCTGTAGGAAGATGCAATTATAGGTACATGACATCACTTCAGAAGTCACACTATCCCTCACGACTGGGGACATGCTCTGTCAAGCCCAAACAGTCATTCTCACACTAGCATCCGAAACTGCCAAACTTTTCTCCTGCTTAGGGTAATCCCCACTCAATCTCAATACTGTTAGGAGGTAACAGACTTTAGAGACATAGGAAAGAAGATTTAATACTAATGAATACTGGCATTTCTTGGGATCAAAACCTATCAGCCAAGACTCTTAAGTGTGCGGTGATTTTTCTGACACATGCTGACCAGTTCTACCACCAAGTCCTTCACGAAATATGGAAGGGAACTAGCTCATTGTGAGTTAATGGTCAATATCGTACTGACTGAACAGAACAAAGGTGGCATCATCATGTAAAAAAAATACTGTTTAAAATAACAGGTCCATGCCCATTGTAAAAGAAGCGGCCAGAAGAAAGTAAGGCCTTGAGTAGAAGATTGTGAATTGCCAGTTTAAAATATTGAGACTTTCCCTTTTTATAACATATAGCTCTTGGGAAGTTCATTTAACATACTTCCATGGCTAGGCAAAGCGTTAGCCATTACTCTACCAGTGAACTTCTGCTCCTTGATCCTTGTCTACTAATTATTTTCTAGACAAATGAAAGGAAGGCATCTGTGGCAGGAGTGAGATCATTGAAGTCCCCAAACCATCTGAAGCTACGTGTGGATCCATTTGCTTCATCTTGCCACATGCTTCAAGTAGCTGTAAATGTCAACAGCACTATTCTATGAAACTATTGACCAAATTAACTAACAGGCAAGGGAGTATACTAACTTGAATTATACTTTTTTCCCTATTTAATATGCACACTAGCTTAGAAATAAAGGACAGCGAGTCTAAAATGCACACGCTAAAACAATTCAAGAATGATCTGGTAACAATGAAAGAAATCCCATGCTCTCTTGAATCAAGCTAAGTTACAAATTTGTCGAAGACCGCATTCAGGCATTTGCGGTACTTTATACTCTGAGTGCATGAGGGTTGTACAGCAGCTAGAAGGGAGACATGGGGCTACATCAACCATCTTACAGATCTTTGTCTTCTGGTTCTTTTTCTTTTCTCTGAAAGCAGAAGGGAGATGCGGGTGAGGTCGAGTAGAAGTGTTCCCTGCTGGTTTTCTTCTGGGTCTGCCTCAGCATCCAGCAGGGCTATGGGCTGAGACTCAGCCACCACTGCTCTAAGTAGCATGCTTCCCAAGCACTCAGGCTCTGCGAACCCATTTAAAACCAGCTGTGTGTCTGGTTTGCATTTGGCTCTCTTCCCAGGCTCTCACATGTGATTTCTTTGTTGCACACAATGACAGTGACGAACAAAAGCACTCAGGGACTTGGTCTCAGTTGCATCTGTTGCTTCGCTCATTGTCTTAATTTAATTACGGTGGCTACCCTTGACAACAGGCTGCAAGCAGAGGCCTGGTAGGAGCAGCCGTCCTTGGAGCTGGCACCCACCTTCAACGCACTCCTTGAAGGGTTATGAAACAGTTTCACATGCAGCCAAGCAAAAACTTCTCACTTCAGCAGCTTGTCCAAGTCAAACAAACCAGCTGAAACTGTTTCTAGTATACAACTAGATGGATTTTTGGAAGGAAAACAGTAGTGAGTAAATATTATTTCCTATTGACACTAAGAAGGTAAGATTATTAAAAAAATGCCAGTCTTCCAGCTCACTGGGGTCGATGGAAGAAACTGGCCCTTCTGAAGGAAGAGCTAACCAGAGTATCAAGGTATCAGCTGGGGAAGAGATTAATTTGTAATAGAGGGCATTTGCTTTCTTCCAAAGCTTTTGAACTTTCCCTTGGAAAGTCATCCATGGTCCTTTTAAGGACAAAGGTCATCAAAGGCTAATAACAATAGACATCACAATAATCTTGTTTGACACCTGCTGCGGCTTTACAGTTGAGTACATCCATTTTGGCAAGGTGACCTTATTTGTATCCAAATCATTTCCAGGCTGAGGCTAGCTTAGATGTGGTGATGTGCTTCAGGCTGCAGGAAAACAGGCTGTGAGAACTAAGGAGAAATAACAGTAGCCATCGCTTGAGCATTGGTAAGGCACTAAGGCTTAGTTCATACACGTCCGTATGCTTTCTCATTTAATTATCACTGTCCTCCTCAGGATGGGCACTGGCATCTTGACCATGTGACCTTTAAGCAATGTGGAGGTTTGAAAGGAAAAAAAAAATAACCCACCAAACCAAAACAAGTATTTCTTAAGTTAAACTGGGCTTCTGCTTTGGGTTTCTGGTAGTTCTTGTGAATCTGGGGCTGACTTGCTAGCCTACTACCTACCACACCGACAGGTAAAACAGCACCCGGTGCGGCAAAGTCCAAATGTCTTTCTAATGGCAGTAGCTCATAGTGTCATCGGTTGTCCACCTCCCCAGCTGGTTCACTGATGAAGGTAGAACCTCAGGGGGCAAGAACTCCGAAGCTAAAAGGGTGGGTGTCCTTCCTGACTTCAAGCTCTGCTAGGCCACATTTTCATGATTTTGTTTTATAGAGCTATGGAAATAGAGTATTTTCAGTTAGCAAAGGCTAACTCCTTAGATATAGTTACTTCTGATTTTCATCGTGCCTGTTTGTTGGGAGGGATTTTTGCCTAAGGGGCAGAATGAAAGAATGATGATAGGCTCTTTAAACTTCAGGAAGGAAGTGTTGATATTTTCAGGAGACCATGCTTCCATCTTCCACCCACTGCAAACAAGTTAAGCATTGTAGGTCATGGTCTAGAGAAGGTCTGGCATCCTATAAAAAACACTGGGGAAATATTGGCTGACATAGACTATTAGCAGCTTATTTACAGCATTGACCTTCTCCACAGAAGGTCAAATGGGGTGGGGAGAACAGTGGGTGATTGAGAGGAGGCCCAGACATCCAGCCTTCAATTGTTGAAAAGGATGTGCTGTAGTTCTTTTGCTCTGGTGGGCATGGGGACACATGGCATTGCGGAGGATGATTTAGATGTCTTGGTATCAGTTTTGAGATCTTTTGACTTCAAGGAATCCCAAGTGCAAATTCTAAGAGCATCAGAGCAGCCTCACTTCTCTGGCAGCTGAGCTGAGAGTCATGAGATCTGTTCTGTGCATTAGGATGTGGCTTGAAAACTGAAGAACAGAGCACACAATTCAAGAGACCTGTGCTCCTGTTGTGTGACGCTGACTCTTTAACACAGAGCCACATGTGTGGACATGTCAGTTTGCCTTTGGCTCTTTTGTAAAAACTGCCTTCTTTTGCCTTTAATGTGATGGGAATGGCTATGTAGTCCTCTCCCTCCCCGTGATGTTTTCCTTTGAACAGTTTGGATTGTTCCAGGCTAACCCCTCACCTAAACTGTGTCTGGGTGGAGTAGGGATTCCCATTTATGGAACACCAACAGTTTTAGCGGTCATTTTGTCTTAAAGACTCCTTGGTGGCGTTTACACTGCCCTTAACACCTTATATAATAAGCCTCAGACATT